TTAACTTTGTAGTGTAGACATACCCGCAGAGTATGACTACACTGCAAGCTTATTTTGGAATAAGCTATTCCAGAAGATATATTCCAAAATAGCTTATTTCGAAATAGAGCGTCCACACTACAGAGAAGCATCAAAATTAGTCCAAGGCAGGCTCCCCTAATATGGACGTGCTATCTTGATTTAGAGCCCCAGGAGGCACTGCGGAGAAATTACTTAGAATGGACCTGGGGATGGAGCCATTTCAACGTAGCAGAAGTGGAAGTGTGCACATTGCAGCTATTTTGAAATAGCTATTTCGGAGGAGGAGTTATTCCTCGTGGAATGAGGTTTACAGTAGTTGGAATAAGCCACCCATTATTTTGATATTATTTCAAAATGACGGAATTGCTTTGTAGACACTCGCATTGCTATTTAGGAATACCACTAGTTATTCTGAGGTAACAGTGCAGTGTAGATGCACCCTCAGTCATAAAAGCCTCAACTCTCTTCTGTTTCTGCTCTTTTAAAGAATATCTCTTTTAAATCTTTTACCAATCCATTTTATCTGATCACCATATCCCTTACCTGCACCAGACATCTGCTCCAAATTGGCATAATGAGTTGCGACATCATAGTCTAACTCCTGTTTCTTGTTCACCCCTCCCCCCGAACCAACTGTGAGGAAGGAGAAACCCCCACATATTTTGCCTTACCAATCTAGGGGTGAGGGAAAAATTCATTCTCATACCCCAGGAAAAGAAGAGCATACTGACAAAATTCAGTATTTCACGGTATTCATGCGTGGGAAGGTGAGAGCTGCTCCATTTGGTCCATGTTTTCCTGCACCGGCATGTACTCTCATATCCCCCCCCCCTTTTCAGTCCCCTGGGTAGGTGATAGACACTGATGTGATCTGCAGCTACATCAGAAAGTCACTCCCTGGCTTTCTAGATCTTAAAGTGGCACATGTTTTTCAAGAAGCCAGACAATGACTCCCACTGCTTAATGTGCAGTGCGGTCAATTATCTTCCCTCCGTTTTGGCAATACATAGAAAACTGGTGTCTCATGAGAGAACTGAAGGATTTGAAAATATGCTGTGCTTCCCTATCAAGTCTCCCCCTCCCCCCGGCACTGCTGCCAACCCTGCAATGCCTGGCTAGCATTAGTGCAGGTGCAATGGCCACTGCTTACTGGAGCAAGCTGTCAGGGCAGTTTATGACATGCTACATCTTTGCCTTCCTCACCCACAGTGTTCAGCAAGTTTCTATACAAGTATTTCCCAACTGTCTCTTCATGCTTCCGACCAGCACACTTCAGTTGAAGCAGATACCTAAGCTTGTTAAGGCTTTTCAACTGCTGGATGAGGAGGGCACAGAGCAGCGTTAGCTGTTTTGGACTATGTTCTAATGTTCCAGTCACCAGTTTTACATCTGCTGCCAAATACACAGTGAAGGCCGGCAAACGTGGAGCCTGGGACTGCCTAGTCAGAAGGGAGAGAAACATGGGTCTTCACCCAGGGGAGCTGGAAGTCGAGAGTGGGTTCCCTTCCTGAACCACTGGGGGAAAATACAGGTACAGTTGCCCTGAATTGTGACAACATCCTTATGCCAGGAACTCTATGTAAGTGACGTCCGACGTGTTCCAGCACCATCGTTTTTCAGTCTTGGTATTAACTGATTGATGCATATATGCTTGAGGAGGCAACTGTTGGCAGCTTAAAGATCTCAGATTCAACTTCCAGACCTCAAATATGCCAATAACTTTGTGTTGTTGGCTCATTTTGGTGAATTGCTGCAGCTCACATCTGGTCTGTAGGCTCAAAAAACACCATGCAATGGTTTGGTTACTTATCTGGGTAAAACTAAGTCCCAGGTCATTATCACGAAGCAACCTCAACTCGGGCTACAACCAGATCAGTATTGACCTTTGTGGGCAAGCCATTGAGAGAGAGGCATCAAATTAACATTTGGGAAATGCCATAGACTGTGCAGCTGGAAAGATGTGGACACTTATCTATCAGCAACCACTGCCATGTTTGAGGTCCATCAGTGTGGCCACTGTGGAGATGCCATGACATCATTGTTTGCTACAAAGCTGTGGACGCACAGTTATACCAACTTCATTACATAGAAGTGAGAAGCCGTCACGAAGGAAGGCTGATGAACACCAAACTGACATTTTCTATTCCTGTTGTCATCATCAGGTGTTCCTTATCAAATGACAGGTCAAAATCAGATTGATGACTTTCAAAGCCACGCCCGGCAACTGCCTCTTTCAGGCACTCATTAAGTTTCTGCAGCTTTCCTGGTATGGAAGGAATGGCAGGTCAACAAATTGCAAACCATGTGTACACAAGCACAGTGCTCGGCAGCAGAATTCACATCCCAGTGATCTGATAAGATGGACCAGTGATGGACACAGATTGAATAATGCCTCACCAGAGATCAATCCAGAAGGTGTATGGTTTGCATGGTGGTTTGAGATTTGTCATGACGATGATGGTTTTTTCCAGACTAGTGGACAGCAGGACATTTAAAACCTGAGATTTTGCTTTCTGCAGCTTCCTCCATTGTCTACTACCTGTTTCTTTCCTCTGCTAATATAAAACAAAAAGGTATCAAATAATCTTGATGTTGTTCCAATAAGGAAAAAGATAAAGATCGTGTACCGTCAATTTTAAGTGAATTTGGACAAGAGGGCTCAAAATCAATAGTAGTCTCTCCTCTCTTTTTTTTACAAGACCCCCTTGTCTATTACTCTTATGTATTCTTATCTCTGAGCATCTACTTGTATGTTACATGCCCATCTCTCCAGTTCTAAGCTCCTCTATTTTATATGTAGGTACCCTTTAGTAGAGGGGCATACCACTCTGAGCAACCGGAGGGATATATATCCAATTTCACAAGTTTTGTGCTTGTGGCCCAGGAATCTACATTTGCTGCCAAAATGCCTCAGAATTGACAGCTTGAGAAAGCTTCAAAAATCTGAGGTTTGACTGTTTTATGTTTTCCTTCTTGAACAGATGAGTTATCTTATATGCACATCTCTTGCTTTTTCAGTTTCGGTATCTATCTTAAATCTGGAAAATCTTTTCATTCTGGTCATCTTACAGCACTAGCTGAACTGGATGACAGTGGAGGGTAGTAATCAGAAATTTTCTTTCAAAAGTATGTTATATCACTAGGCTGGCTCTTTATCCTCCTTTTCTAAGGTTCATTCCCTGTCTGGTACTGAGACAAAACTAGATGTTGTCTTGTCTGGTATTGGAAGAGGGATGCCATTTTGGAGACATGCCGCTCTGCCCTCCCCAACGTGACCTTAGGGGGAAAATTTAGGCTGTGGAATAGTTTTCCAAGGGAAGTGTTAGAAGCGCCATTTTTTGGATTAGCCAAAGCTGTAGATAATTTCCTGTAGGAAACAAATATATTAGTCCTCAGTGATTAATAGAATGATCTTACCGGCCTTTTCCATCTTTAATTTCTATGACTCTTTGAACAAAAAGAACAGCCACCATGAATATTGCTTTCTAAAAAGCACACAAGTTCCTAATCTGTAATTTTAAAATCACCATTTTATAAGTATAAAAGAATGCTACAGGTTTTTTGTTTCTCAGTCAATATATACTTCATGCCCTTGACTTAGCCAAGGTATTCTTGTATTTGAGGAAAATGCTTACCCTGATACTTTGGATGGGATCTCTGAAGAAACTTAGGCCAGCTCTTCACTACAAAAGAAAGTCAACTTAAGATATGCAACTCCATCTACGAGAATGGTGTAGCTGGAGTCAAAGTACCTTATATCGAATTTCTGCAGTGTCCCCACTGCGGGAGGTCTACAGGAGAAACTTACTCCTCATGATCCTATGGAGTACTAGAGATGACGGGGCTGCCATCAGTGGTAAATTTAGCGGGTCCTTATTAGATATACTAAATCAAACTGCAGAAGATCAATCTCAGGAGTGTTGATCTCGGAGTAAGTGTAGACCTAGGAAAAAACAGCAGCTATTCCAGGCCTTTATTTTGTCAGCCTTAGTTTTTCTGAGCCTTAAAGTCACCAAGCATGGAAGAGCAACAGGTCAGCAGTTCATTCATAATAAGGACCCTCTCCTAAAGCCCATACTGTTATAGGACTACTGAACTGAATAATGGCTGCAGATAATGCAAAATGTTCACACATGTTGAAAGGAAATAGTAAACATCAGCCTGGCTGAATGGCTTGTTAGAACATTTAGGCGAAATTTACACTACAGCAGGCAGTAAACTTAAGCTACTCAACTCCAGCTACATAAATAACGTGGCTGGAGTCAATGCACCTTAAGTCAGGTACTTTAGACTCCACCACAGGGGGTCAATGGAAGAAATTTTCCTTCAACTTTCCTTACTTTTCACATCCAGGGCAGAGTAATAGGGTCAACTGGAGAGCGATCTGTGGTTGATTTGGTAGGTCTTCAATAGATCCACTAAATCGACTGCTGATGGATCGATCTCAGTGTCGATCCAAGTTGTAATATAGATGTACTCTTAGATCCAAAAATAGGTGTTTTGGACCAAAAAGGGTATCAGAATCTGGTCACTAGGAAAGGAAGGTTTCCCTGATTTCTTCCTTATAGATAAATTGCTGTAGAGCATTGATATCAACATATTACTAAAAATCTCCAGCCCATGCACCTTCATTCAATTTTCTTTAAAGCAATTTTCTTTAATGCATTTAATTTTAATTTATTTTAAATTAAATTTAATTTAATGCAAAAAAGAAAAATCTATGTAATCGTTCTGTGAATGGATAACCAGCCACACTAGTCATATTTTTCACTGAAGTATAGCAAGAACAAAATTATGTTTTTATAATCCAGCAAAATTATGACTAGATACGGCTTGCAATATTTCAGTGAATTAAGCAGCTTCCTTACAGAGCATTTTTTCAGGATGTTCAGGATAGTTTCCCCTAAGCACAGGCATAATATAAAATATGTTTAGTTGTGTGGTCCCACTGATTAATTTTCTTTCTCATCACTTGATAGGAAGAAAATTGCTTCCAAGCCTGAAAAACTAAGAATAGGCAGATCTAGCGTCCTCCCTGTCATCATTAAATCAGGGAAAAAAACACAATTAACACAGGCAAAGGTAAGATCACTTGATTTTCAGTCTTTTACAGATCTCATAGAGGTAAGTATGATTTCCAGTTATATCAGAATATATATGGTGGTACTTTCCTGTGCCAGAAGTAGGAATCAATTGACAGCTACAACCAAGAGCCAGACAGAATGCAAAGTTGAAGGACACAAGAATATTTGTTAGTCTTCTGTGAACCTCCCACACAAGGGCCATTCATAATCACAGACCTCTGTGCTTGATGGAATCAAAGGACTTCTGAATGCACATGTCCTAGGGTACACATTCTCCTAAAGAGAGACAAGAGAGTCCATGGTCCCTCCCATCCCAATCCACACAATAGGCTATGTGAATCAGTGGAGTAGGAGGTCTCATCTTATAGAATCATAAAGCTGGACGAGACCTCACGAGGTCATCAAGTCCAGCCCTCTGCCCAAGGCAGGACCAATCCCAACTAAATCAACCCAGCCAGGGCTTTGTTAAGCCGAGACTTAAAAACCTCTAGGGATGGAGATTCAACCACCTCCCAAGGTAACCCATTCCAGTTCTTCACCACCCTCCTAGTGAAATAGTTTTTCCTAATATCCAACCTAGACTTCCCCCACTGTAACCATTGCTCCTTGTTCTGCCATCTGCCACCACTGAGAATAGCCTCTTTCCATCCTCTTTGGAACCTCCCTTCAGGAAGTTGAAGGCTGCTATCAAATCCCCCCTCACTCTTCTCTTCTGAAGTCTAAACAAACCCAAATCCCTCAGTCTCTCCTCATAGGTCATGTCCAGCCCCCTTCTCTGCGGGCCCCTCTCCAATCCATCCACATCCTGTCTATAGTGGGAGGCCCAGAACTGGACACAATACTCCAGATGTGGCTTCACCAGAACCGAATAAAGAGGAATAATCACTTCTCTAGATCTGCTGGCAGTGCTCCTCCTAATGCAACCTAATATGCCATTAGCCTTCTTGGCTATAAGGGCACACTGTTGACTCATATCCAGCTTCTCATTCACTGTAATCCCCAGGTCCTTTTCTGCAGAACTCCTACTTACCCAGTCGGTCCCCAGCCTGTAACAATGCTTGGGATTCTTCCATTCCAAGTGCAGGACTCTGAACTTGTCGTTGTTGAATCTCCTCAGATTTCTTTTGGCCCAATCCTCTAATCTGTCTAGGTCACTCTGGACCCTATCCCTGCCCTCCAGCATATCTACCTCTCCCCTTAGCTTAGTGTCATCTGCAAACTTGCTGAGGGTGCAATCCATCCCCTCATCCAGGTCATTAATACAGATGTTGGACAAAACCAGTCCTAGAACCGATCCTTGGGGTACTCCGCTTGAAACCGACCGCCAACCTGCCGTTGAGCCATTGATCACAACCCATTGGGCCTGACATTCTAGCCAGCTTTCTATCCATCTTATAGTCCAATTATCCAATCCATACTCCCTTAATTTGCTATCAAGAATATTGTGGGAGACCGTATTAAAAGCTTTGCTAAAGTCAAGGTATATCACATCCACTGATTTCCCCATATCCACAGAGCAAGTTACCTTACCATGGAAGCTAATCAGATTGGTCAGGCAGGACTTGCCCTTCGTGAATCCATGTTGACTATTCCTGATCGCTTTCCCCTCTTCCAAGTGCTTCAAAATGGATTATTTGATGATCCCCTCTGTGATTTTTCCAGGGACTGAGGTAAGGCTGACTGGTCTGTAGTTCCCTGGATTGTCCTCCTTCCCTTTTTTAGAGATGGGCACAACATTTGCCTTTTTCCAGTCATCCAGGATCTCTCCCGCTCTCCACAAGCTTTCAAAGATAATGGCTGAAGGCTCTTCAATGACATTAGCCCTCAGGGTGATCCCTCGGAAGCCTCGGATGCATTAGATCCGGACCCATGGATTTGTGTATGTTTAGCTTTTCTAAATAGTTCCTAACCTGTTCTTTCCCCACCAAGGGCTGTCCACCTTCTTCCCATGCTGCATTGCCTAGCGCATTAGGCTGGAAGCTGACCTTGTCCGTGAAGACAGAGGCAAAGAAAGCATTGAGTACTTCAGCTTTCCCCACATCATCTGTCACTAGGCTACCTCCCTCATCCAGTAAGGGTCCTACACCCTCTCTGATCACCCTTTTATCGCTAACATGCCTGTAGAAACCTTTCTTGTTGCCCTTCACATCCCTTGCTAACTGCAATTCCAATTGAGCTTTCGCCTTCCTGATAACTACCCTGCATTCTTGAGCAATATATTTACACTCCTCCCTAGTCATCTGTCCAAGTTTCCACTTCTTGTAAGCTTCCTTTTTGTGTTTAAGCTCACCAAGGATTTCCCCAGTAAGACAATCTGGTCGCCTACCATATTTGCTTTTCTTGCTGCGCACGGGGATGGTTTCTTCCTGTGCCTTTAATAAGGCTTCTTTAAAATATTTCCAGCTCTCTTGGACTCCTTTCCCCTTCATATAAGTATCCCATGGAATCCTGCCCATCAGTTCTCTGAGGGAGTCGAAGTCTGCCACTGTTGGGGTTTGCAATTTTCACTTTCATCAGTTTACCCAAATTCTGCTTGTGCATAGGTGGATTTCACATGGTGAAACTAATTGTGGCTTGTGGCTGCAGTGGAGTCAGGGTTCCAGTATTGGCGATAGTCCAAATGTCTGATTGGTTATTTGTACCCCTGGCTAGCAGAAGGATTCAGCAGTCCTACAGAACAGAAGAGGATGTTGGAAATCAGATGTGCATTCTGGCTACCTTCCTGGCAAATAATGCTGGAATGGGGCTTGTTGATTAGACAGCCAGCATTAATCTATAAAGACTGTACTGAACATGGTGCACAGAGTGTAAAGGCTAGAGCTGTGCCTCTTATATAGAGAGCTATCATTTGAGATTGTCATTTCTGGGTAAATGTGAGCGATAAAACTGGGAAAAATAACTTGGCTAGTACAAGCTGGATTTCACAGCCACACCAAGGAAAAAAGCCTGTATTTACTTTCCTCCACCTACAATTACAAAAGATTTAACAATATTTCGATATATAAGTAACACTGGATTCAAGTTGTAGATAGTACATCAGAAATGATTGAGCCAAAGGCAACAACAGTTTAAAAGAAATAAGAATTAAGACACAAAATTATTGAATAAGAACTGTGCACATCCTGTTACCTCTTTTCCCTTGTCTTAACCTGTTAGTGTGTCCACCTGGTATGTTTTTGTCTTTTAGACTAGAAGCTCTCTGGGAGAGGGACTGAATTTGATCATATGTCTGCACAACACGTAGCTGGTTGTTACATTTTAGGTGCTACTCTGTGTTAAATAATAGTTATGATAATAGAGACTCTTTCTGCAGCCTGCAACTTTACACCCACTTCAAACCCACCTCCAGATGCATGAAGGTGACTTGCCCGTACCCTGGAGCTTTCAGTGTCTCTGTCTCCTCCTTAGTCCTCAGGGGAGAGGAGGAAAAGGAGGTTTATGTCCCTCTGTGATAAGGGTCATTGGCAGGGTAACTCACAGCCTCTCACTTCACTCCCATCAGTTTCATACTAACTACTAACTCCAATAACTTCACTGAAGTTACAATATACACTGGTGTGAGATAAGAATCAGGCCCAAATGCACTACTGAAATGAGGAAAGTATGTGTGTGTGTCTCCTCTGAGACCTACTCTCCTTTTTAATTCCTTTATTTTTGATCCATCTTTCCAGCCAAAGAGGTTTGAAAATCATCTCCCTGCAGAACTCTTCAATGCCACTTCTGGAGTAGTTGGAGAGAGTGTTATTAAGGTAATGGGAGGTACTCAAGAAACTCTGGGCAAGAGTGTAAAGTAATGATTCTGGGAAGACAGAGCCAACAATTCCCAGGCCCACCAGGGTCACAATTCCCAGGCCCACCAGCAGGCTGGGGAAGAGGGACCTATCCTTTTGTACTCTCCTTTCATTCTAAACTTGTGTGCACCTTACAGATCCAGTCAAGCCTCCTATCTGTTAAACCACTGGGTGGCAGTGCTTGGTACCTAAATTCAGACATATACCATCTGTAAGCCAACATACCTGCTGCACCTCTGAATTACTTTCTGTGTTCATTTCTGATTCTGTCTGTATGTTTCAGTCTGCCAGAAGATAATTTCTGATCAGATTTTCTACGGTTTAAATGTACAGTGAAATCTTTGTTATCCAGCACTCTGTTAGCTAGAAAACTTTGTTAACCGGCATTGCCCCCGGCCACAATACTGTCACATCTTCAGGCGCACAGGCCTGGCTTGGTTTACCATGATTGCCTTAACAATTTTTTATTTAAGAAGTACTAATCATCTTTAACTCAAAATAGAAATGTGAGACCAACTGCCTCACATTACAAAACTGTCAATATTAAAAACTTGAGTTTTACTATTATTGTCCATTGGTTTTTCCTAGGTTGATGTGACCCTCAGATAACCAGAATTTTTAGTTAACCAGAACACCCTAATCCCCAAGTGTGCCAGATAACATAGGTTTTACTGTAGTATTATTTACATGTTGTTCTAACAACATTATTACTTTGTGCAGTTTCCCATAATTTAGCTCACTCATGGCATCCCTTCACACAGGAAAAGGAAGCGAGTGCTGTTGTTCACAATATGAAACAAGACTGTGAAAGAAACAATATCAACTTGGGTCAAATAAATTCCTGCGCATACGGTAAGCAATGAAATTCCAATAATCTTTCCTGGTATTTAAATGAGAAAGTATCCTCACTAAAATTGTTATTCGTATACAGTACATACGAGAGTTTTATGACTGTATCCCTCAAGTCATAAGAAAATCCATTTACAAAAGATCTATTTCTCTAGAAAAAGCAACACTGGAACATAACTTCTAACAATCACCGTCCCCACAAAAGGAGAGATTTTTCATATGGTGCTAACTGAAGCAAAAATTACATATATAATCTTGTATTTAAATTAACATAAATGACTTACCTGAGTGAGGTTTTGCAGCATCAAACTATTGATTAAAAACATCAGTTATTTCTGTCCTTCTTTCATACACTTATCTACAGAACCCTGCTTGGACACAAAATTTGACAAAATTTGTATCTGCATTTAATACACAATTTGCAAACATGGTCCACAGATATCTAAGGCTATAAAGTGAATATCTGCAGATTTGTGGGGCTTTACTATCTCTTGGCCAAATCCTGCTTTTCTTCATGTGAGAAGTCCCACTTGGCTTCAGTCAAGTGTCTAACACCTTCCATGCTGATATAAACACTTTGGAGATGCTAAGATATACATTTGGAAAAGCAAAACATTTGCTTGTGCTAATTCAAGATGGTCTTAGATTCTTTCTCCTCAAAAGCAAAGTTAATTTATTTAATATGTTAGTAATTATCTTTAGTCACTAAAATGTACTTGTGCAACATACTATAAACTGAGACTATACTTTATTTAGCACAGCACATAAACCCTTGCATAACTTTAAACACATAAATAATCCTACTAAAATGATTGGGATTATTCACAGTCTTACAGTTAAGCAGGCACTTAAGTGCTTTGCTTCCACTGAGATGCTGCCTCTTAACGAATTTTGTGCCTGATATATATATTCATTCAAGTCACATTTGAGCAATTTCATAATAACACCTGCAAAGCTGCCTATCGTCAAAGGTCTGGTCTGCATCTTGGTGACATGGATTAGCTGCAATGATGGAAAAAAAATCATTATAGGAAATGTCCAAACTATAGTGCTACAGCTAGGAGCTCTGACAGCCTCTGTGAGCCCATGGGCAAAATGGGGGGCCCAGCTCCATAAATCTGGAAGAGGTAAGGCATCAGGTGGAAAGGGCAGGGCTGTGTGCAGCCAGCCCTCGGTGCCACCTGGAGCATGGTCCCCCTTCCTCCCCACCCTCAAAGTCACCCGGCGATTTAAAGGCCTGGGGTTCCAGCCCCTGCCGCAGTATGAGTAGTGGTGGTGGCTGGGAGCCCTGGACCAATTTGAATCACCAGGCCTTGGGGCAAACTGCCCTCTTTGCCCTTCCCCCACCCCTGTCCCCATCAGTGGGCTTCTCTAAATACCCTTGACTTTCAATGAGACTTAAGCTCCTAAAGACCAAATTTTTAAGGTATTTAGGTGCCTAAAGTTGCAGAGAGGTATCTAGAGGCATTTTCAAATGTTTATCCAGGTGCCTAACTCCCATTTTGGGACTTAGGAGCCATGACACATTTGAGAATCCCATTAGGTACCTAAGTACTGAAATAACTTTAAAATTTGGTCCTAAGACCCAGATCCTCAAAAAGTATTTAGCTTTCTAACTTCCACTGAAATGGAAATTAGGAGCCTAAATATCTTCAGAGTTTTAGAAGTGCCTACATCACTTTTGAAAATGGGATTTCAGCTCCTACATGATTAAGAAACAGACTACAAACTTATTAAATATATTTATTAAACAACTAGGAAGTTGCCATCTTGACAATCTCACACTGTCTTTTAATATACAAGCCTTGCGGAGCAAAGCTGGTTGAATGGGAGCCTTTCAGAATTTCTATAAACTAAGGTGTATTGCTTTGGAAAATAGCTAAATTAAAGGTGGTTCAAATAGTCTATTTTTTTTAATAATAGCCTTGGCCTTGCAACAACCTTGAAAGTCTGATGCATTTCATGAATTAAGATGGGAGCCGTATTTTCTAAAAAGTATTCTACATCATTAATCTAGCACAGTGGTCACCAAAATGTGGGGTGTGCCTCTCTCGAGGGGCGTGGAGGAACATCAGAGTGCGTGACAGCACCCAGGCCAGCCACCGCTGGAGGCAGGGAGCAGGCACCACACAACCGTGCTCTGTCCCCAGCTCCTCTCAAGCTCCACCCCCATCCACAGCCCCCAGGTCTGATCATGGCTGTGCTCCTGGTTTTGGGCTTAGTCCCTGGCTCCTGCCTCTAGTTGCAGCCCCTAGCTCCGGTCACAGCCTGGCCCCACTCCCAGCCCTGGCCCTGGCCTTAGCTCCCAACCATGGTCCATCTCCCAGCCCCATCTTTGATCCAGCTGTGGCCTCCGCTTAGTTCCCATCCAAAGCCCTACTCCTGGCTCTGGCTCCCGATGGTTGGCTCTGGACCATGAGGGCATAGGCAGATTATGTTAGAGGTAAGAGGGCACATGACTTAAAATGTTTGAGGAAAACTGGTCTATTTTAGAATTCCTATGAGGAAATATAAATACCCAATACCCTCAATATTTTCCATACAAAAAAGCTGAAGGAAAAAATATAATGCTACTTTTATGAAAATGGGTACTTCAGAAAGCTGAAGCAAAGGGCTTACTCAGAGCAGATATAGTGCCTATGGATGCCTGAAGGAACTGGAAATCAGATACGGATCTTCTCGGTCGTAGGCAACTGATGGCTATTTTGTGGCCTATGAACCTTTAATGAGTAGGTGGTCTCAGGTCTGTTCCTGTAGGATGACTGGCCTGATTGGTGACAATTTCAGAAGTGAGCATAAGGAATGAGGCTATGGAGATTGAGGCATCTTTTCATCCTTATAAATGGTTCTTTCCAATCAGGAGTAAAACACACTGATCTCATCAATGTAAATGAGATTTGAACCTTGCACTTCTGCTACCTGTTCTGTACCTTAGTTCTTCACATGCTTTGCAGATAATAAAAAAAATTAAGCTTAAAACCAATGTAATGTCCTACTTAAAAGTGAATGATGGCTGTGCTGAATGTGCTGTCCTTCCGGGTTAAGTCTCCATTCATGCCATTTGCTTTTGCCTTCCTTCTCAGTTTTTAGCCACTGTCAGGTGTAATTTACCAAAGGTCTTCACATGGCTCTTCGTACTCTTTTGGGTGTGGTGGTGCGAGTGGAGGCAAGGGGGGAAGCCGGATAAATTGTCTGTTCTCTTGCGTCAATCATTGAGTTTTTCTCTCAGTGCATATCTGTCAAGGTTTATATTTATTTGCAAAGTCCATTTTGTGTGAGGTTCTTTTTCCCCCCATTTTAAATGCCTCGGTATATTTTTAATCCAAAGCAAAAAACTAGTTATTAGGTCTTATTCTCCTCTCTTTTACACTGGTGTATATCAGGAGTAACTCCACTGACTTCATTGGCCTTATACATGAGTAAAACAGGGTAAATGAGATTATAATACGGTTTAATATCAATAGACTAGCTATTATGTGAAGCCTTACTAATCTAACAATCCACAGTGCAACCAGTGGAAAAGGAATATTTGATAAACAGAAACTTTTCAATTTCAAGATTTCACGGAGAAATAAACACTTTTGGGGGCTTTTAAACAAACTGTTTATTTGCACTTTTTGTAAAATACCATCAATTGTTAAACCGCCTAAATCTATTTGACCATTTATATGGCTCTCTTCACCAAAATGTGGGAGAATCTCACAAAAATTATAACCGTAATATAAAGGCCTATGTGCAGTGCACTTTACTTCCTTCTTCCCCAGAGGCTACCTACTGAATCTTCTTTAGTTGATAAAAAGTGTTTTATGCTTTGTACTACAAATGGTCATTTTTATGGTATTTCAAATCTCTGAAAGTGAGTTTCATAGTGAACCAGTTTCTGAAATAATTCTCTCTGTTGCTTTCTCGAGTTTTCTTTTCAAGATAAGCTCTTTCATACCGATTGGGGAATATAACTCTCTGTGGAAAAGTGTACTTTACTGTAAACAATTCTTCTAGATACAGAAGAGTCAGGAACATAGAATTTGCTGTGTCAGATCAATAAGCCATCCGGTCTGCCTAATACCCCTGGCAATGGTTCATAAATTACACTTCCAAAGAAAGTGACCAACTCTGACATGGTACATTTGGCAAGTTGTGCAATCCTGGAAGTGTGGGAGCTTCCCTTTGCTTAGCTTTTAACTTGTATTGCCACAGAATTTTGGTCACAGAATTATCCAGCTCTTTAAAACCATGTCAAAGCAGTGGAGACGGTCTCCCCACACCCGTCCATATTAGCCTACTTCTTGAAAAAAAGAAGACATTATAATAGAGCACACAGCCACACTTGTAGAAAAGATTCATAATAAAGAAAAGACCATATGTGCACCTAGTAATTTCATGATACAGAATATTTATTATGGTACTTTTGACATAGTTGAAGCTTTCTGTTTGTTTTTTAATTATATTGTCTTTTAACTAAGCAATATTCTTTTAAACGGAGTGGCTCATGAAGAAATGAAATGATCTGAAGTAGCACCGAACAAAGCATTAGTAAGCATCATCACTATTTATTGTTTGCAGTGGTGTAGCAGCTGTGTTGGTTCCAGGATAATAGAGAAGCAAGATGGGTGAGGTAATATCTTTGCTGAACTAAATTCTGTTGGCAAAAGAGACAACATTTTGAGCAACACAGAACTACTCCCTAAACTCCCTCCTCCCCTTTTTGCCCTATGATTGTAGAGGTATTAAACAGGCCACTTCACCCTGAATGATCCCATAGAACATGTGTTAACTATTTATACTAAACAGTCTGTTCCACCTTATATTTAACTGTGGCATGCTGAGCAGTGGTCTACATTAAGAAATTAGGTTGCTTAAACTATATCTATCAGAGGTGTGAAAACTCAATGCCTCTGAGTGGCATACTTACACTGAATGAAATCCCTGTGTGTATAGCATAAGACTGACTTACTACCTACCATTTTTGAGGAGGTTGGTTACCTGTGATGACAGAAGAACCCCTCCCGTCAGTGTAGGTAATGTCTACACTGTAGCACTACAGTGGTGCTGTGCCACTCTAGGGATTAAGTGTAGGCAAGCCTTGAGCATCTTTCCCAGCCAGGAAGACCTCTGAAAGGCTTCAAAGCTTGTCTCTCTTGCCAATAGAAGTAGTCAAATAGAAACATATTACCTCACCTCCCCCCCCTCCTCCTTTGTCAGTCTATTGCTATTCATCGCTATTTAGCTTGGAATTGACAATAGCTTCAATCCAAGATCAAACATCTTAGGGCATATCTACATAATGGGGACAAGTTGATCTAAGGTATGCAATTTGAGTTACATTAGTAGCGTAACTCACATTGACATAGATTAGATTTACTTACTGCATAGTCCACACCGTGCTTGATCATCAGAAGAAATTCTCCCATTGATTCCCCTTACTCATCTCATTCTGGTGGAGTACCAGAGTCTACAGGAGAATGATCAGTGGTTGATTTAGCAGGTCTTCACTAGATCCACTAAATCGACCCTTGGTGGATCAGTCTTCACAACGTCAATCCACCCCATAGTGGAGATATACCCTTAGATATAGAGGCTTGTGATGAAGGTGAAAGTGCTAAATTCAACAGTCATTGGAAGGCTGGATCCTGGATCAGTCAGCACTTTTAAAATATTTTAATGCATTATAAAGAATATTTAAAACAAATAAATATATGCAAAAATATCCCAAATAATTTTTCTTGTATTTCCTCCGCTTCTTTCTTTACCTATTTGAATTATTGAATGAATCCATAATGCTAAGTTCTCCTGGCCCTCTCTGTGTTACTGTACATTTGTTTCTATTAAAGTTGCATTACAAAAGCATGTTATTTCACCAGTTGAATTTGTTTTAGCCATAAACAAAAAACATAAGGGTATAGCTTTTTCTTTACATATACATTCTATTTCCTAATAATAATTAGACAGTTCAACTGAACATAACATAAGAATGGCCATACTGGGTCAGACCAAAGGTCCATCTAGTCCAGTATCCTGTCTGCCGACAGTGACCAATACCAGATGCCCCAGAGGGAGGGAACACAACAGGTAATCCTCACATGATCCCTCCCCTGTCACCCACTCATATTCATATCTACATAGTCAAATCTGACCATTGTATTTGCCCATTAATTTAAACTATATTTACCATGTATCTTCTGCCTTATATGGCTATGCCAGCCATGACACAATTGCCAAGAAACACCATTTCTGTTTTGTTTTGCAGATTAAACCTTGATTTCCTCCAGTTCTGGTGTTTCAATAGCATCTGAAGGGCTAACATTTCAGATTTTTGAATGTGCACTTTGCAGTTTCCTGTTGTTCACTGTGAATTGATGCATAATTTTCTACTTTGCTCATGCTTTATATTTAAGGCTTAGCTGGGCTGTTTTGAAAATGTCATTCCTGTTGTTAAATCTGACCTTCATTTAGTAACTTTCTCAGAGTGCTTTTTTGCTACAAAACCCTACCAATCAACCATGGTTACGCAGGTGGTAAGTTGTTATTGCTCCTTGTTGTGCAAAACCTAATTATTTTACTATTACCTCATCATCCTTCCCGATCCCACCCATCTGTTTGCATCATCCTTGCATTTTTACATGAGATTATACATTTTCTGGGGCAGGGACTTTTGTATTTGCTATAGCACCTAGCACAAGGGCCACTCTGATTCTAATAATACATAGTAACTCCAATAAATCATAAGAAGTGAGATTAAATAAAAACTCAAGAAACTTGGACAGAAAATCAAATGCAATATAGGCCATAACACACAGAATGGATCTGAATTACTTGTGTGTGCATTCCTTATTCCACCATGTATTTTCACAAACCCTACCACTATTACTTTGTTAATTATTATTATTTATTAATTATTCTGGCATCGTCCAAAAATATGGTAGGCATTTTATAGTATATAAAACAACATGCATTCTCTGTCACCAAGCACTTACAACCTCATTTCAAACAGAAGTTAGGGAAAGGAGTGAGGAAGAACAACCTCCTGGATACTCATCTTAAGACATGAGAACATATAGTTTACCTACCTAACAACGAGAGAAATGAGTTTGAAACATTTCCCTGTATAATTTGAGTGCACTATTATTTCCTGTTGTTCTAATGAATGTATTGCCCTCTGTATTGTTATTTAATTTATCCCATGTATGATATTCCATCCAACAGGAAGAACTCCTAGGGGAGATGTGTGTCATTCAGTATGCAAAGGAAAAGCAGTCCAAAACTCATCAAGTGACACAGACTGTATTCAAGTATCTTTGGTAAGCAATGACATTATAACAGCTACTCATAATAATTCACTGGGTACATGACCAGTCATGAGAGCCTTATTTCTGTTGCTTATCCATACAGAAGCAGCACATTGCCACAAAAGTAAAACATTTTTGTTCACTTAATAACTTTGAAATATATGCATAGAGATACAGATACAAAATACTGTGATCTGTTCTCATTACAGTCTCTACTAGACCAGACACCTGCAGTCCAAAGACAGAATCAGATAAAGTCTTATGTCAATGAAGACAATTCCCAGATATACAAAATCAAAAAAGGAATCTTGCTGCAGACAAATCAGAAGTACCTACTTGAGAAGGTTAGAGAAAATGGGAGATCAAGGGGCCAGTTCTACTCTCAGTTACATTGGCTTAAATCCAGAGTAACTTGTTTGGTTTTCGTGAAGTTATTGTGGATTTAAATAGGTGTGATTTAGAGCAAAATCTGGTTCCCCGAGATTATACAGAGCTTAAAAGGACATCATCATCTTAAATTTGTCCCAAATTTTTAATTGGCTAAACACATTTTTTGTATAAAATCGAAGACCAATAGAAATTTTACATAATTTTAAAATCTGAACTTGTATTTTGAACAACTAATCTCTCCTTTGTGGTATTTGAAACCCAAACCTTGCAGTACAAATGGCCTGATCCAAAGTTATTGAAGTCAGTGGGGAATTTTTCATTGATTTCAGTGAGTTTTGGACTGGACCTTAAGAACTTGCAAGTAAAACTGACCTAAACCAATGTGATACTGGCTTTATTTCTTTTTATTTTCCACCCTGAGGCAAACGCAGAAAGAAACAGAGAATAAATAACGATATGTAATTAATTTACATTTATTTCATATTAATAAACGAAGGTAATATTAATATAAAAAATAGAAATATGTTTGCTTAAAGCAGGGCTACTCAACACGTGGCCCATGGGCCACATGCAGCCCATGGCCCATTTGTTTATGGCCTGTGGTGTGGTTTGGGTTTACATGGGGCTCAACACGTGGCTGCAGGCAGGATCCTTTGAACAGGGCCTTCACTGGGAACACGCTCCACAATGGCAAGGTGTCTCCCAGGTCAAGAGAGCATTGACAGATGCAAGCGGACAGGCTGGCTGGAACAGACGGGTACAGGGTGTCGGCGTTTCTAGCCCCTAGGGAGGAGGTGTTGGGAGCGCTGGGGCATTGTGGGAAGTGCTGGCTGCTTAGCCTTGTGGGCAGCCCCTGAGAGGTGCTGACTGGCTCATACTGGCCACATTTGGTTCTGGTGCTATGGCTTAAGGCTTAATCTTTGTATTCATGTGCGTCAATGTGAAAGAAGCTATTTGCATATATTTGGATATATATTTGCATGTATATGCAACCACACTTAAGTTGTGGCCTTCGGCATGTGCTGTGTATTATTTGGCCCCCAGGGCTTCCAAAGTTGAGTAACCCTGGCTTAAAGAATAGGTAAATTCACAGCACCCTTTTAAAACTTCACATTTTCTGGCTGGAATATTCTCGTTACTCTAGTTTGAAAGCAGTCCCTCAGGTCAGGTCTACTCTAAAAGGGAACATCGAATCAAGATAGGAAAATCCAGCTACGTTAATTATGTAGCTGAAGTTGATGTACCTTGTTTTGAATTTTCCCACTGTCCCCACAACAGGAAGCAACAAACACTTCTGTTGGCTTCCCTTATTCCTCATAGAAGCAGGAGTACAGGCCACCAATGGGGGTACACTCTGAGTTCAATTTAGTGAGTCTTAACTAGATTTGATAAATTAAACTCTAGAATATCAACTGTGGGAGCATTGATCTTCCGTTTAGTGACAATATAGCCTTATAGATCCCCAGATCCACAGCAGAACCACAGTTTCTGAGGCCGCTTGGTCTTGATTTGTCCTACCAACGTTTGGTTGTAGAATGACATTTTTCATAGATTTCCTGAGCTATTGAACTGTAGGAATGTGAAGGAACAAAGTGGTGTGAATTATAAGATGCCTTGTTTGTACTCTTGCACATGACGTTAGGTACATGCTGACACCAGGAGTAGACTCCTCTGAATAATTCACTTTGAGTTTGGACTTCTACAAGTTAACCCTTCAATTGTTCAATATCTCTTTGGCTGTAGCTCCAAACTAATTATCTTGGTACCAAATGCTCCCCAGTACTTAAAACATGATGTTACTAGGTGTCAGTATTCTTTTCCCCTCCAATTTTGTCTGTTTAGATTATGAACTCTTGAGGATAGATATTGTCTTATTGTACAATATGTAAACATCTGGCACTATGAGTTCTTGATCTCAGTTGAACTGTAATATAAATTATGCAAATAGCATTCATATCAGTCAAGCCAGCTGATTTAACCAGCGGTGCTAAGAGGAATGTGTCTAACACAAGGTGGTCATAAAATGTAACAAGAAATTTGTCAAGAGCTTTGATTTATGCTGGCTTCTCTGAAACAGAAACAATCCATGTAAGATTTATTCTCTGAAAACTGTAGCATTCCAGCCATGGCTCACAGGAGAAACAGAAAGAGACACTGAAGTTACACATGGAAGATACCTATTGGGTTATCCAGATGCTCTCTTTGGGGCCAGTGCAGCATTGTACGGTTCATTCTCAACATGTAATATGAAACACTGCAACACCACAACGTATATGATCTGAAGCCCATTCAAACTATGGCTGTATGTCTTGGAGCCATCTCTTTGTGATTTACCAGACATTGACAGTGACTTTGCTTTCAGAATAAAAGAACAGATGGGCAGAACAGTCATCATATATTAAGGGAAGCAATCACCTGTTGACAATGGGTCTTGTCTACACTACAGTGCTAATTCGAACTAACTTAGTTCGAATTAATTAATTCGAACTAAGCTAATTCGAACTAATGCATCTAGAACTAAAAACTAGTTAGAATTAGCGTTTTGCTAATTCGAACTAGCATGTCCACATTAAGTGGACCCTGAACCGGGGTTAAGGATGGCCGGAAGCAGTGCCGGCAGGGCATCAGATGAGGACTTAGAGCGTGGAGCTGCTGCCTCAGGCTAGCCGAGGGCTGTGC